ACGTATTTGACATATATACATGGAAGACTTCCATGATTAAGGATTCATTCATCTTTTATTTAAAATCAAATTAGCAAATATTCTGAAATCGTTGGTGGTAGGGCGTTTGATTAACCCGCAAGACCACCATTCCGCCCATTTCTACCGCGAAGCAGTAATGCGTTGCAATTTGAAGAATGGGGCAGCCGTTTTGGTATACAGTTGAAACTCAGACCTCGTTTCTAAAAATGGGGGCGGCATTCACGTTGTGAGGTCTATACCACTTAACACTAGATGGGTTGTGAGCTTATGTACTTACTTATATGATAATGAAATTAATAAATTAGGCTATAATTTTGATCCATTCTTTTTTAAAATAGGTTCGTAACGTAAACAACTATCTGATTACAAATAATCAAACGATTACAAAAAAAATGTTATCAGTGTTGACGACACAATTACATTTTTATAGCTATTATTCAAAATAAAGCAAAAATTATTATTAGATCACTTATTTTTAGTAACGCTTCATCGAAAAGAACAGAATTAGCAGCTCTCACTTGGCGTTTCAAACGTGAGTTCCACTTAAACATTTTGAAATGTTTATATGTAACGCGCTTTTATAAATTCATTTGCCGGTTTGTTCAGCAAAAAAAAAAAAGTAATGTGGCTTTTTAGTGCCAATGATTGCTACCCGATTGCGACTGGCGCTAGTTGTATGACAGAAAACTGCAGTAAGCGGTAAGCGAACAATCGCGGTACGTGATACGAAATAATTTGACGTTTTGCGATCGGTCGCGACGCGTCTGCACAACATCTGCAAAATTGTGGCTGTCGCAAATTTTTACGTGATCAGGGGGCGGGTCTTAGCTACGAAACACCAATTTTTTTAAATCTAAAAATACGGTTTTTTGTACAAAAAAGAAAAAAAAACAGTCGTGCATCTTGACGAATTTAGATAAATGCTAACGATCATTTTCACAATCGGATCTCTGATAAGTCAAGATAAGTCTGATTAGTTGCACATAAATTTAATTACCGATGTATATTATGTACATTATCGATATTATAATACAATAATAATTATTATCGATTGAAATAAATTGTCAAAGATATTCTTCAGGACATTTCATAATCTATATATTAATACGTGAAGCAAAAACTTTGTATCCCTCTTTACGAAAATTGCGCAGACGGAGGAGTATGAAATTTTCCACACTTATATGAGATTTTCCACACTTATAGAGAATATAGAGAAGAAGTGCACAAAGCTAATATTTTTTAAAAATAATGCATAAAAGATACATTAAATCAATAAAGAAAACATTACACACACTACATACCATGTATTTGACGCACACACGCATGCATACTATTTATTGTCAAACTTTTGTTCTTGACGTCTGTTGTCAAATTGAAAATAGATTAAATATTGTTTGTCTTTGTTAATATTTTTTATAGTGGAGTCTTGGCGAAATTTGTGATTATAGAAGTATAAAATACAATCATAATAGTGTACAAATTTGCAATTTCAATTAATTATAGTCGAATTTCGACTACTGCGGGACCTCTAGTTATTTTTATTTTATTAAAATCATCAATCGAATAATCAATTTATAAAATCGCTTATAGGTATTCCGTCTGTTGTTGTTAATAGATAGCAAGTACTATGAGAAAATCTTTCCTCAAATCTTAAAAACAACTATTTGTTTATTTTTAGATTTTTTTTCAGTAGGATATAAATTGTAAAAAATTTTATACTTGTGATTGGAGATTCTGAAGATTCTGATCACTGAAGATTGAACAGAGCAAGGAAGCAGAGAAGGTACAACACAAACATATTCAAATATCGCCGCCGACTGATTGACCCCTATTTGGACACCAGACGTCGACCTACGAAAGAGTGTTTAACCGGTTATTTATGTCTGGATTTAGTATGTTTCTGACGATACGCAGCCTCCCTTTTTTTTCCTACCAATGCTGATGGCTTTGAGAGGCTATATCAGCGTAATATACGTTCGTGTTCAACAAATGGGGAGTGCTCTGAGGAATTGTTTCAGATGATCCCATCTTCTCATTTTTACCATCGCAGCACCCGCCACCGGAGTAGAGTTCATTTATACTACCTGGATCTACTGCGTTCATTCACAGTGCGTTTCCAGATATCTTTTTTGCCACGTACCATCCGGCTTTGGAATGAGCTCCCCTCCGAGGTGTTTCCCGACCGCTATGATATGTCTTTCTTCAAACGAGGCTCTGCCCGGGCATCGGTTTACCCTGAATACCCTATACATTTAACTTTACTTATAGTGACGTATATTACAGAATGTGAAGTTACGAAAGCACGTATCGCAATTGCAAGCGAATCACGTACATTAAACGTGAACTGATTTTAGTGTTTACCAACACGTAACTTGTTTCATTTTAATCTCCAGGCTTTTAGTTTCATTCATATCAATATTACTAAAAGTCGTCGTGGCCTAAAGGATAAGACGACCGGTGCATTCGTATCGAGCGATGCACCGGTGTTCGAATCCCGCAGGCGGGTACCAATTTTTCTAATCAAATACGTACTTAGCAAATGTTCACGATTGACTTCCACGGTGAAGAAATAACATCGTGTAATAAAAATCAAAACAGCAAAATTATACTTTGCGTAATTATGGTGGTAGAACCTCTTGTGAATCCGCGCGGGTAGGTACCACCACCCTGCCTATTTCTGCCGTGAAGCAGTAATGCGTTACGGTTTGAATGACTGGGCAGCCGTTGAACTGTTAAGAGTGAGACTTTAGAACTCATGTCTCAAGATGGGTGGCGGCATTTACGTTGTAGATGTCTATGGGCTGCGGTAACCACTTGACACCAGGTGGGCCGTGAGCTCGTCCACCTATCTAAGTATTAAAAAAACTCCATTTACTTGTCATATATCAGTCAAAACCTATGGTCAAAACGTTGTTCCGTAATCCTGTCACAAAGTTACCACGTGATCTTGAAGTGTAGCAGTTATTCTCTTAGAATTGTACCCTCGGCTTCATTTCTCAAGGTGGTAACGACCTTTACTGATCACTCGCCGTTCCATTTATCAGACACGACATTGCTAACTTCATTATGTATTTCAAATGCGTACATCGCATCCAAGCTGTTTCCCAACCTAACAGTATATATTGTATGACTCTTCGACAGATCAAACAGATAAAGTGAATATTACCTGTAAGCCAAGAATCAATATGGTCGCCAAACAATTCGTAAGTGTTTGATTTAAAAACAATGGTCGATTTTAGGATGTTAGTTGATGAAAGTCTGCCAAACAGTTAATCAATAGGTACACGCGATTACCCCACGAATCCCTATCTTAATTTGAAGACTCATAATTAAGGCTTATGTCATATAGGCACTCCTTTTTGGAAACATACAAGAAAGTCGGTTTGTTGTTTTGGGTTCGCCCAGATTGGTTGCATTTTTTAATTTTTTTTATTGCTTAGATGGGTGGACGTGCTCACAGCCCAACTGGTGTTAAGTGGTTACTGGAGCCCATAGACACCTACAACGTAAATGCGCCACCCACCTTGAAATATAACTTCTAAGGTCTCAGTATAGGTACAACGGCTGCCTCACCCTTCAAACCGAAACGCATTACTGCTTCATGGCAGAAACAGGCGGGGTGGTGATACATACCCGTGCGAACTCATAACAGGTCCTATCCCCAGTAAAATGACCTATTTTGTTCTTTCCAGTTTATCTTTGCAGCGGTGGTGGTCGTTGCCAATGCAGGCATTCACTCAGTTGCACCAGCGGCGTATGTCGCACCTGGTGTAGCGTCGGCGGCGTACGTGGCACCAGCTGTGGCACCAGCAGCGTACGTTGCGTCTCCCGTAGCGTCTTATGCGTCTGCAGCATACGTAGCCCCTGTTGCAGCATCTGCGGCATACGTCGCGCCGTACGCATCTTCATATTCCGCCCACACAGTGAACCACGCCGTCGCGGCTCCCCTTCTTGCGCCTGCTCAAGTTTTTGCCGGGAAATACGTATCAGCACCTGTTTTGTTAAAGTAAACCGTGTAATATCTGCTACAGAATGATGACAAATGAACTATTTTATTTTTATAAGTTTATCTTTCTTTAATGCCTTATGTACGATACTAATCCTGAAAATCCTACAAAGAGAAAATTCCTGTGATCGCGAAGTCGGAAACCTATTTCGGCTATTGCTAGGGTCTTGGGCTCTTTGGCCGGAACACATTAAGTATGTTGTATTTATTTTAATGGCTATGGTAAGTTTAGGAAAAGACTAAAAGCCTTATTTGGTGTTAAGCTATTACTACGGGAATCGGTAGATTTTACATTAGGAATACCGCTGCCTGCCTCAAGATATAGCATCGGAGTCGGAGCTCTCGATTGGATTGTTCCAACAGCTGTACTACTTATCTAACCGGTACACCTGTTTGATTTGGTCTTCGTATTTCTTTTTTAGTGTAAATTATGCACGGAGCATCTTCATGTGCGTCAGTCGTTAATAATATTTGTCTGGGATAATAAAAAAACAACTATTTAGTTTCATTTCGAATGAAGTCGTCGTGGCCTAAAGGATAAGACGTCCGGTGTATTCGTATGTAGCGATGCACCGGTGTTCGAATCCCGCAGGCGGGTACCAATTTTTCTAATGAAATACGTGTTCACGATTGACTTCCACGGTGAAGGAATAACATCGTGTAATAAAAATCGAACCCGCAAAGTTGTCATTTGCGTAATCACTGGTGGTAGGACCTTATGTGAGTCCGCACGGGTAGGTACCACCACCCCGCCTATTTTCGCCGTGAAGCAGTAATGCGTTTCGGTTCGAAGGGTGGGGTAGCCGTTGTAACTATACTGAGACCTTAGAACTTATATCTCGAGGTGGGTGGCGCATTTACGTTGTAGATGTCTATGGGCTCCAGTAACCACTTAACACCAGGTGGGCTGTGAGCTCGTCCATCCATCTAAGCAATAAAAAAAAAAAAATCGATGAACTTATATTCTAATAATAGTATTTCTGCATAGTGATAATGGATTGACGCACGAATCCAGTTTTATTTAATTAGCTAATGAAAAAGGTGAGTTTGATTGAATTTGAAGATTGTTTGTCTATCTGTTCCTTGTTGTCATAATTTTCCGATCTAAAGGAGTACTGTAACTATAACTGTAAATGCGAGAGTCCGGAATGTATGAGAACTACTCCGGAAATGGAAACGACAATATCTTTATCTCCCTTCTAGTGACACGCATCCACTGCATGATGTTTTAGCGACAGTAATCATCAAGGTAATCCAAAATTGGAATTTTTTTGTAAGTCCGCGCGGGTAGGTACCACCACCCTGTCTATTTCTGCCGTGAAGCATTTGCCGTTTCGGTTTGAAGGGCGGGGCAGCCGTTGTAATTATACTTGAGACCTTAGAACTTATATCTCGAGGTGGGTGGCGCATTTACGTTGTAGATGTCTATGGGCTCGAGTAACCACTTAACACCAGGAGCGCTGTGAGATCGTCCATCCATCTAAGCAATAAAAAAAAATAAAAAAATAAAAAGTCAAAATTCGACTATAATTAACTGAAATCATAAGTTTGAACATTATTATGTTGCATCATAAGCAATACATGCCTAATGAGCAATCATATAAAAATGACAGATTCCAAATTCAAATGTAATATTTTGTTTATTTTTAATTGTAACAGTATTTATTCCAGACTAACACCCGTATCTTTAGTCGTTTACACGAGCTTAACTCGACTCGACTCAACCTCCAACGCGCGTTTTGGTATGCTTAGTCGTAAAAATAAACTCCACTCAAACGTCCTTGGAAAATTTTCCTAACCGGAGTGAAGTGAACGAACTGTCAAGTTAAGGTACGTCGCGACGTACCTTGAACGTTCCTCAAGGCTGGTTTTCTATCAATGTCCAAATAGTATGTGGACCGCAAATGGAAATATATGATATTGTTGTGCAATGGCCTGGATCTGTGCATGATTCCCGCATATTTTGATAATTTAAGTTTGATAATATTTATTAATAAAGTAAATAGTTCGAGGTTAGACATTTGAAACTCTTTATTTTATTTACCTACATAAGAGACATATTTTGCTTACTACCTGATAAATAAAGTCAATGCGATTATAAGTTTTATTTATATAATAATAAACTGGTGGTTGTGGAAAAGCACTTCAACAACACGATGCAACCAAAATCACACAAAAGCGGCGAATAAAAATACAAAGCCGGATCCGAAATCTAAAATAATAATAGGTTAGAAAATAAATAATACACTTTCAGATTTACCGCACGCACACATATTTACGAATAACTCAGCAACCAAAACATCAAACAAGTTCATCTAGTGTCAAACAGACAGCGGCAGCTTGACTTTGACATTAAACAATGACCATAGACTACAGAACTCTATGGGTTTGATGCTAGCTTGATCAAATTTTCATCATTATTACCTCACTCGAGGACAGTTGAGGAATATTGTAATGGTCGACTAAAATACCAAACTCGAGTGAGTTTGGAGGGAGTTCTCGAGCATCATCGGATGAGTTAAGAGTGGAGGACTATTTTACGAAACGTCTAAAGATACGGGCATTAAATCATAATAGATTCATATCTGTGAATCCCATTTAAAAAAAATTATGCACAAAAGGTTTTCACCAACATTTGACAATACAGAAAAATACGAAAATAATAAAATATAAATTACTTCGTCATTAGATATTACAACATGTTTGCTGCTTTTTTTTCCATCTGTGCTCACGGGGCTCTATTCTGAGGACATGTGCTGTCACAAACCTTGAGATATGAAGTCTAACTCCCGTATCTTTAGTCGTTTACACGAACTTAACTCGACTCGACTCAACTCGCGTTTTGGTAATGCTTGGTCGTAAAAATAATTTCCACTCAAACGTCCTTGGAAATTTTCCTCACCGGAGTGGAGTAAATGAACTGTCACTGTTCAATGCTTCTAGTGTCAAACAGAAAATGGCAGCTTGACTTTGACATTAAGCAATGACCATAGACTACAGAACTCTATAGGTTTGGTGCTAGCTTGATGAAATTTTCCTCAAACTGATGACGGCGTGGTGACGCAATACCACGGCTCTACCTCACTAGAGTTGAGGAATAATGTAATGGTCGACAAAAAAAATACCAAACTCGAGTAAGTTTGGGAGGATTGCTCGAGCGGCATCGGATGAGTTAAGAGTGGAGGAATATTTGACGAAACGTCTAAGATACGGGCATTCGTCTTAATTGTATAGTTTAACGGTAGTCCCACTCTTCAAATCGGAAAGCATTTCTTTGCGGCAGAAACAGTCAGAGTGGTCGTTGAAATAGTCGAGTCTTAAGTACGTTTTTAATTATTTTTTTAAATGGTAACGTGCATCGCTCGGTACGGTTGCAAAGCTCTAATTTTTTGGGTCACAACTACATCAAAATTACATTCATCACAAAAAAACAACACATCTCAAATTAAAAAAAAGCCAAGACAAATTAAAAATGTTTATTTTTTTTCACTACTGTGTTAGCATTGAGATAATAATTAAGAAGTTAACTGAACAGGAAACATTTTATTAATAAACACAAATATTTAGCAGTCGTTGTTTGTGGAAATCGTGTTGTGTGTAGAGCTAAGAAGTATATTTCAAAATTGAATAGCTTTTTGTAACATATTTATTGTAGTACCTGATCATATATTATACCTGATGTGTATATTTATACATATGAATCGATACATAGATCATAATTAATATAATAAAAGCAGATACTTTTTTTTTTTTTTTATGATTGAAATATTCCTGTTGGCCCGGAGGCCTTTCCAGTTTCATCAGGACAGGTGGGCGAGCAAAGGCTCAGCCAGGAGGGGTGGGATTTGCTAGTAGCTACCCGAGCGCCTCCGAAGGAGACCTAACAGCTCAAGAGCAGCTGCTTCGCGAATGAATCTTTTTGTTTTTTTTTTTTTATTGCCCTTGTAGGCAAACGAGCATACGGCCCACCTGATGGTGAGTGGTTACCGTCGCCCATGGACTTCAGCAATGCCAGGAGCAGAGCCAAGCCGCTGCCTACCGGATCTACTACCGGATCGGAATCGCGACCCACTGAGAAGATCCGGCGAGAAACTCAGCGAGCTGATTCATGGGTTAGGTTGCACGGCGAACTCTTTGTCGAGTTCGACGAGTACGGTTACCGGGGTCCCTAAGCCTGCTCCTAGTGTTAGAGCTGAAGGCGTCTAATGCAAAGGTTATTGGATCTGATGGATCCGTAAGGACGTGAGCAAATACTAGACACATAGGTAATATATAAGTCGTCGTGGCCTAAGCGATAAGACATCCGGTGCATTCGTGCTGAAGCGATGCACCGGTGTTCGAATCTCAGGCGGGTACCAATTTTTCTAATGAAATACGTACTTAACAAATGTTCACGATTGACTTCCACGACAAATGGCCCGGGACACCAGTGCGCAGAGGATCCAAATTGGTTGTGCTGTACAATTTGTCGAACCCAAACGTGAGAGTGTTCAATCTAGTGTAGTTGTTACGGCGCGGAGACGTTCCGGACAACAGTACACAGGACCCGGGAACAGGTAAGTGGATTGACACTTTTTATTCCTAGACATTAGTCTAATACGGGTAGGTGTCGTCCAGCCTGTGTAGCTGCGTCACCATTTTATTTGTTGATAAAATTGGCGGACGTTAGCGCCACCAGAGTCTGGCCCCCTGTGTTTATTCCCAGTCCTGTCCTGCCCCTTGGGGTTAGGCGGGACCGAAGCTAAACCCGATTTGCTGATTATTAGCCCCGCAAGGGAACGGTAGTGTCGGGAACTAGTCGGGAGCGGTAAGTAGTGTTTAGTTAGTTTGCCTGTACATAAATTAGCTTGTAATTCTGTATTTTTTTCTTAGTTTTAATCAATAAAGTCCGCAAGTAGTTTCTTCAAAACTTCTTGATACAATAGTGACGCTAGTCCGTCAACCAATAGGAAGCGTTGTTCTTTCTACAAAATTTTTACAATAGCCTAGTTAATATTTTTTTTAGTTCTACCCTCATTTGCCTTAATTTTTTCTATGTCTTTAATTGTAAATATTATTAGATTATTTGATATTGTGGTACCGATAGACGGCACCCACAGTGGTAAACCTCCACCTAATAATTGATTGTAAATTTTTATTTGCTTATTTTCTCTTTATATTAGTTATAGTTTCAGTAGCATTCATTTAGGTTATTTGAAGATAGTTGCTAGTATCTGTATATACTTGTTGTTTTTGTTTTTCTTAATCGTTCTGTCGCCGTCTTTGGCCAATATTGCGGCTTTGTTTTTAATTGCAATTTATAAATTCACTATTACAAAATTACTCATTAAGTTAGGCGTCCAAGTATTTATCACAATTAGGATAAAGTGACCTCTATCGATCCAGGAATAGTGTTATTCCACATGGAACGATATCATGCTTTTGAATAAAATACATTAGTAACTATTCACACCAAATCATTTGCTTAACATTAACTACCATCTTCAATCGTTTCAATCCATTTTATTTTATTCTTTTATCTTATTTTTATTTTTATTTAACTTTGTTATTTTTAACTACCAAGTCCGCTGACGGGCCATGGACGTTGACAGAAGGTGAAGAACGACGGTGGGGGTGGTAGCATTAGAAAGTAGTTAATTAAT